GGCTGTAAAGATGATAGCCACTTTCGGCTAAGAGTCGGCTCCCAACAATTAGTGAAGATATATTTTTCAACCACAGTTACCTGCCACAGAGATCCTAAGTTCAAAGAGGTTCCAAGCCCATCGCCGACCTATGCTGTAGTTTCTGAGTGCTTCCTCCTATGCCTACTGTGTCCTTCAGCACCAGCTCATTTCCCAAAGTTCTTTTCTTTCATTGCACAAGTAATGAGGCCTGGTGGAACCCTTGATCAGACTGAACCCTGTGCTGAACCCTGGAGCTCTAATAAATACCTGAAACTATGTTTAAAATCACCAGTAAAAAGTAAATAACACAGAGCTTACCTCGAGTTTATCACAGCAGCAGTGCTCGAGGTCAACAGAAAAACATGAGGGAAGTTCAACATGGAATCTGAAGCAAACCCTGTCCTAAAGGAGTAAAATAATCATCTTTGGAAACATAATTATACTTCTAAACCTGTAACTGTGATGTATACATCAGGGAAAGTCAACATCATTAGCAAATTGCCAATTGTGAGTTACTACCCATCATCTGGATGCTTGCTTAAGGTTGTCTGTGGTTGTTGAGAATTGATGGGAATTTTTTTTTTTTTAATGTAGGATGCTATAGTTATCCATGAAGTCTATGAAGAAGGTGCAGCAGCCAGAGATGGAAGATTATGGGCTGGAGACCAGATATTAGAGGTACCTCATTCTGAATTGCACTTTATAACAGAGAACATGACTGATCTTGGTCCATAGGTCAAATTATCTGTCTTTTACTCAACTGTTTTTTCATAATTTCTCTTCTGTGGATCAAAGCCTATATCAGATTCTCTCCCTTTTCAGTGTTCATTGAACAATTCACTGGCTTAAGTTCTTTATCTAAATCTGAGAAAATGTTATTTTAGTGAAAAAGAAAGTACCACTTATAGCTCTATTATTTTAATATCAGACAAGATATATCATATTCCAACTTGATTTTTTTGTCTCTGTTATTTTTTACTAAATCCCCTGCTAAAAACATACATATGGACACATACTTCAGCACACACCTGCAATTTTAAAACTTTGTCACCATAAATCATTTCCTTGGTTTTAATAGACCATTTATAAAGAGGAAAGCCATGCCTCGTCACTTTCATTATGTAAAATCTGTCCCTTTAGATGCATCTAGTACTTACCAAACACTGAGCTACTTGACCAAACTCTTTAATTTACCTGACATTTAGAAAAACTGCTAAAGCTTTTTAAAAGGTGCCGGGGAGCAGAAGAGATGGCTCAGAAGTTAAGAGCATGTACTGTTCTTCCAGAAGACCCAGTTAGATTCCCAGAGCCCGTGTTAAGCAGCTTACATTCTAGGGAGAATCTGACACCTGGCTGTCTGAGGGCATCTGGACTCACATCACACACCTATACACAGACAGACATGTCCATATACATAATTAAAATAAGAAAAATCCATCTTCAAAAGGAGGAGAAGTAAAACTCATGAACTGAGATAGCTTCCACTGATGAGATTAATATGTTAATAATAAATAAATAAATGGTGGCACAGTGGGCCATGTGATGCTGAGGGACACATGAGCAGGATGCCATTCAGTTCCAGGCAGTCTGGTAGGTGGCACTAAAGAGGTTTTCAATGATGGGAGACTTTAGCATCTATTTCTTTCATTGGATGAATTTAATGGAATAGACTTTATGGCAAGTATGTGCAGTTTTTGCTTTCTATCTTTGATGTAGCATATTATGAATGACCTCATAGAATTTTATTTCTCTCATTGTTGGCTCATTTCTGCCTTCCAAGAAGAAAGCAGAGGTGTAAGTAAGAGGAAGACCTAGGTGTGAAAGGTGAGGGGAGAATCCAGCCTAAGTGCAGATTAGGTTCAGGTCATGTTGCAGGGCTTCTCTGCAGGCCTTGGTTCTGTGGCACCCTGGCTTGGGCGTATCCCCAGTGCACTTATTAAGGCACTAGTGGATGAGGCAAAATAACAAGGAGGACATCTTTGACAATTAGCATGGATGCATTTGCAAACAACACTGGTTTTTAGTGATCAAAATTTTGGAAGACTTCTGGTCTCTGTTTTATTCTTCCTAGATTTTCTAGTCAGTTGGTGTTGTCATAGATGACACTTCAAGATTAGGAGCTTCAGAGTTGACTCAGCATTTCACAGCATGGGAAGACTATAGGGCCTGTGGTCGATTACTAGTATCCACAACCATCTGTAACACAAGTGCCAGGGGATCTAATGCTCTCTTCTGACCTCTCTGAATACCAGACATGCATGTGGTACGTAGCCATGCATATAGGTGAAATACGGATACCTATTCTTTTATCACGGTATCCACAGACAAAGGAGAGTATATGAAATAATTTTTAAATGCAAATATGTATACTTGATTTTATATCAACTATACTTCAACAGAATTTTTCTGCTAAGCTTGGTGGTACAGGCTTATGGTCCTAGCATTCAGGAGGCTGCGTGAGTTTAGAGTCTGCCAGAGATTTAGAGTGCATTCAAGGGCAGGGTAGTCAACTTAGTGAGATTTAGTTAAAAACAAAAATGTAAACAAAAATGTTTTTTAACATTTATTCATCTATTTTCCTATAATGTATATGAGCACACATGTATACATGTGCTACAACACATATGTGGAAGTCAGAAGACAGTTTATAGGAGCTGGTTTTCTCCTTCCATCATGTGAGTTCCAAGGATCAAACTCAGGTCATCAGAGTTAGTGGCAAGTGACTTGACCTACTCAGGCATCTGTCAGCCCAAATTAAGCCACTTGTAAAAGAGAACCTCATATAGTATCTCAAGCTAGCCTCAAACTCACAGTATAGTTGAGGCTGGACTTGAATTCCTAATGCTCCTGCGTCTGCTTCTCAGTTGTCGGCTTACAGAGAGTAGCCACCACACCGGTAAGAAACATTTAACATGCTGGCCACATGGCTCAGTGGGAAGGGGCTTGGATTCAATTTTCAATACCATTTTTTAAAAACTACTATCTCTCTTTATTAAAGCTGCTTTCCTGCTTTCTCCTGTAAGAACATTTTCTGCTCTGTAGGAGGGTCCTCGTCTTCTGCCAGCTGGTCTGCCATGGCTGTAATGATGTCTGTTCATAACCATTTATCTCATTGGCACAACAGAGTACCTCAAAAAGCAGCTTAAGGGAAAGGGCTTATCTGGCTTGCAGCTCCAAAGATACTACCTGTGGCCGGAAGCGTGGTGGCAGGAATGAGTGACAGCTGATCTCCGTGCATCCAGACGCGGAGCCAAGAGCAGTGCTGTGCTCAGCTCACTCGCCTCCTCGCTCAGCCTGGGACAGCAGCCCATGGAATAGTGTCACCCGCATTAGGGTGGGTCTTCCTACTTCAGTCAACCTGATCCGGATAATCCACAAACTTATAATCCAAGGTTCATCTCTTTAGTGGTTGTAGATCTTGTCAAACTGATAATCAATATTGAATATCACAGCGTCCTAATGTTAAAATTAGGATAAGTCAGATTTTGTTACAGAGACACCACCAAATAATTGTCTAAAACTGATTAGCATGGACTGTCTTCTTCCCGGTGGTTTTTTGTTTTTTTGTTTTTTGTTTGTAGGCCAGTCCTTTCTCTCACCCTAACTTACTGCTGTCTATAACCTGTTTAAATGGGATCAGAAAGAGAGTTAATTCCTGATTTTCCCCATGAACTCATCATAAAACAATAAGTAACCAAAGCCCTAGTGTGGCCATGGTTCATCCACTTCCCATGTGCCATCCTACTGAAAGGATGTGACAGTGGCACCTCCAAGAGCCCTTCTCAAACATGAGGCTGCTCCTACCACCCCAAGGTCAGTAAGCAATGCTGTGAATAAGCCTGCTTTTCTAAGGAATGGGAAGTGATGCCACAGTGCCCAGGTTGCACAGCACTGGTTGTCTCATCATGCCGCCTGAGCACGTGGAAGCCAGGCTGAAGTCACTCTGAACTGAGCAGGTCCCTTAGTGCCTGAATTTGGTAGAGACTGCCTGCATAATGTTAGAGTTCAGTTACAGTGCCTTCAATTGTCTGTTTGCTGAGGCCTTTGAGATGGCTTAACGAAGTCCACAGTCAGTCCTTGAGGTTAGTTACCTTGTGTTTTAACTAGCAGAAGTGGTCTTGTGTGCCATCTATTGGACCCTACAAAAATAATCTGCTCAGCTTTCCTAGAGACACAGCTTTCCCTCTGTTCGGTGGGTTTATTCACTAACAATGTGCAAGCATTCAGTGACCTGAAGGGATAGTGCAGGGTCCTACACAAAGGGAGACAGCTCTGCAGTATTTCCTCAGCCCACCCATTTCTGTCCTGCAGTAAACATGCCTGTGTTTACTGCAGCAGATGAAGGGGTTGAGTTCAAAGGCAGGCTTCACCTTCCTGGGCCATGCAGGGCTATATCAGAGCAAGGTGTGGAAGTCATGTGTCAGAAGCTCTTCTGCTCTTGCCTCTTCCTGGCCATGTAGGAGCCAGGCTTCCCTTTGTTTGGCTCTTTGCCAAGATGTGACCTTGAGGGAGTGGCTAACAACACTGAGTCCAGAGCTACCCTGCCCCTGAGTTTCTTCTTTATAGAGATTCAGTACTCATATCAATCATTTAACTTTGTGGCACATCCTCTAATAACCTGTTCACAGGCTCACGTAGGATACTGCCTGGCAAAAGGACTGGAATAGAAATACTGTCTTGGTTAGGATGTGGAGAGATGAGTCAGTGGGCTGTGTAAGAGTGAGGGCTCCTCAGCACCCACAAAAGTATCAAGTAGGCATGGCCTGTAATCCCAGCCCTTGAGAGGTGGGAACAGGATCCCCATAGCAAGCTGGCTACTGAGACTAGCCAAATTGGTGAGTTCTGGGTTCAAGTAGGAGACCCTGCTTCAATATATAAGGTAGAGAAAGAACAGTAGAAGAAGATACTCAGTGTCACATCTGTCTTCTATATATGCACACGCACATGCACGCACATGCGCCCGCACACACACACAAACACACACACACACACATCTGTATGGGAAGAAAAAAGCTTGGGTTCAAACGTCAACTGCTCCTCTACCTGTTAGCTATGTGACTGGTCAAGGTCCATGGTCTCTCCATGCCTTGTTTTCTTCATCTGTAAATGGTAGTGATAGCAGTGTATACTGCAGAGAGTTGGTGTAAGCAGTGAATAAGTAAATATCCATAACAATAATAACAAAAACAACATGATGCCAAGACAAAAATAGATACTCAGCTATAGGCAAAATATATACTCTGGAGGAAAAACTTTAAAAACCTTAAAAAAAAGCCTGGATATTCACTAGATTCTTGTTTTACCTTATCTAAAAATATCAGTTCAAAATACATCAAATACCACTGTGTTACTTTGAAAGAGAATGGCCCCATGGGCTCATATGTCTGAATACTTGGCCCCTAGTTGGTAGAACTGCTCGGGAACATTAAAAGGTATGGTCCTGTTGGAGGAGGTGTGTCACTGGGGGTGGGGTTTGAGGTTTCAAAAGCTCATGCCATTCCCAGTTAGCTTCCTCTGTGTGCCTCCTGTTTGTGGATTAGATGAACGCTCCCAACTACTACTCCAGCACCAAGCCTACCTGCCTGCCTGCCTGCCGCCACACTCCTAGACATGGTGGCTATAAACTCACCCTCTAAAACTGTCAGCCCAATGAACTCATTGTTGGTCTTTAGAGCAAGTTCCAGGACAGCCAGGACTCCAGGACTACATAAAGAAACCCTGTCTTGAGCCGGGTAGTGGTGGCACACGCCTGTAATCCCAGCACTTGGGAGGCAGAGGCAGGCAGATTTCTGAGTTTGAGGCCAGCCTGGTCTACAGAGTGAGTTCCAGGACAGCCAGAACTACACAGAGAAACCCTGTCTCAAAAAAACAAAAAAAACAAAACAAAACAAACAAAAAAAAAGAAACCCTGTCTTGGAAAAAATGAAAAGGAGAGAGAGGGAGGGAGGGGGGGGGGGAGGGAGGGAGGGAGGGAGGGAGGGAGGGACAGAGACAGAGACACAGACAGAGACACACAGAGAGAAAGACAGAGAGAGACAGAGAGAGACAGAGAACTGGAGAACTGAAGCATCCAATTAGAAAGCTTCTGCATAGCAAAGGACATACATAACCAGAGTGGAAGAGAGAGTGAGAAGAAATCTTTGCTTGCTACTTATACAACAGAGGGTTAATACTCGGAATATTTGAAGAACTAAAAAATTACATGCTGAAAGACCAAGAAATCCAGCAAATAAGTTTGCAGGAAAATTGATGGAACTGGGCGGCATCATGTATGCAAAATAAGTCAGACACAGTCAGGTATCACGTTTTGTCATGTCCAGGTGGGAGAAAGTCATGCAAGTGGAAGGGGGACTATTTAGGAAGAGAAAGATCAGGAAGAGGGTTGGGACAAAAGGTAATCAGGGGATGAATGTGAACAGAGTACATTATGTGTGTGCATGAAGATATCACAAGTGTATGCTCGTGTTCACTAATAAAGCAGGAGGCGGGGGATCCATAATGACTGGCATTACAAACACTATGGAAATAGGTCGGCTATGATCTCCATATAGCAGAGCAAGAAAATGGGGCTCAGAAGGGTCCTGAGCTGCCCACATCCATGTGACTTGTCAAAAGAACTGTGGCTTTGCTGACTGTCCCCAGCATCTTATGTTCTCTGGTGGTGGACCTCTCTGTGTCCCTGCCATCAGATTCAAATGAGAAGCCTTCAAGAGCTTCTTTGAAGCTGTTGGAAACACCTGTCTTTTATTTCCTTCTGGGCCACTTCTAAAGATGATGTGATCTGAGCAATTAAGAGTGAGGAAGCAGCCAGATTTGTAACAGTGCAGGCCTTTAATCCCAGTACTCAGGAGGCAGAGGCAGCAGGTCTCTGAGTTTGAGGCTACCCTGGTCCGTATAGCATATCCAGGACAGCCAGGGCTACACAGTGAAACGTCTCAAAGAGCCAAAGACAAAAAGACAAATCAAAAAGAGTGAAGATGTCAAGTATAACAGTAAACAGCCCCCAGATACTACCTGGGCTGATAACTGTTCTAACTACATCCCTTCAACGTCAATAACTAAATAAATAGGGGTGCGCACACATCACACACATTCACATCTACCACATACCCATCATCTACACACTCCACACACACACACACACACACCACACACACAAACACCACACACACACAACACATCCACACACACAGTCACACACACACCACACATCTATACATACATGCACACATATACCCCCCCACACACACACATACCAGCTCTCCTAACTCCACAGTGAAGCTCACAGCTGTGTAAATATATACGACTAACACCAGCCCACCCTCTTCTTTGTGGGGTAAGGTCTTTGTGTGAGAAGCAGCTCATACCCCTGATGCTCACATGGTGTGCTCTGGGAATGACTTGAAACTTTGTTGAGATTTCTCACTGGTTGGATCAAGGAGCAGCAGCAGGCTGAAGCCTCTGCTGTAAGCCACCCGTCTCAGGATGGCTGTTGTTACAGGTTAATGGGGTTGATCTGAGGAGCTCCAGCCATGAAGAAGCCATCACAGCCCTGAGGCAGACCCCCCAGAAAGTGCGGCTAGTGGTATACAGAGACGAGGCACAGTACAGAGATGAGGAGAACTTGGAGGTGTTCCTTGTGGATCTGCAGAAGAAGACTGGCCGAGGACTAGGACTGAGCATTGTTGGGAAACGGTAAGGATGGGTGTTCAAGTCCAGGTCAGCCTTTCCTCTTCTGCTGATGAGTTTTGAAAACATGTCATGTTGAGATACGACTGGACTCAGTGGGCACACCTGATTCCAGCTGGGCTTCTGACTCTGCGCTCAGCCCCACAGTAAGGAGTAGAGTAGCTACCTAGGGCAGTATCTATGGGTTTCTCTTACACACTTGGGTACAGAGCAACTGCAGAGACAGTACTCAGCTGCTTTCTTTCTAACTGGGGACATCCAAAGCAGAGAATGGTGGTTCTCTTTTGGGTTGCTTGTTGAGATAGGATCTCACTGTGTAGCCCAGGCTAGTTTCAAACTCGCAGCAGTCCTGTCTCAGCTAGGATTACTGGTGTGCACCACCACGCAGTGTTTTTCTTTACTATCAGGTGATAGGTAGATGAGGTGACCCTCATTCACCATCTGTATTGAAGGTTTAGTTTGAAAAGAATGTTTATATTCCTCAGCATGAAGCTTTCCATTATAATGGATCAGATGTATCTTTGATGGTTCACAAATCCTTTTGACAAATAATTCCATAATTCCTTAAAGGTTTGCTTGCAGATGTTTATTGCATACTTTTTGCAGTAACCAAGGAATAGAAGAAATGTATAGCACATCATCACACACACATTCAGAACACAGTTCAAGAATGGAGTTATATGAAGGAATTTCTGAGCTGCTTGTAAGAAAACGACAAGAGTGTTGTGACCTCAGTTCACAACACAAACTTCAAAACACAGACTTGTTCTTGGAATATGCTTTTGTGTTTCGCCCAGGTACAGTGGATAGGAGGAAATTTACTTCAGCTGTTGTGGTTCACGTGCCTCTATGGAAAAACCATCTTTTGCCACATGTGGCTTGTCCTTGTGATTAAACACCTTACTCAAATGACTCTTCTTAACCCTCAGGATACAAACTGTCTGATGCCCTGAATAAAGTTGGCTATTGCATGAGACTTCAGTTCACCTCACTTTTAGGCCCGACTCTCCCATATTGATGCCTCTGACTACAGTGGTAAACATTTAATAAGTGAAATTACAGAGCATCCACAGAATAGTAGACGCTCATTAAAATGAGGATGCTTCAGGTGCTAATGAAGATCAGTAGATGTGAAGATAGCCCAGTTCCAGACCACATACAAAGTGTGTGTGTGACCTCAGCACACCTTCCGTAAAAAGTCAATTGCCATGGTATACACTCAATAATAATAGCAATAGAAACAATAGCAATAATAACAATGATAATATAAGACCGCCTACAACTGTAATTCACATCTCTGGAAGCCAGATCACCACAACTTTGATAATAACCTGGACCTAGTAAGTTCTAGGATAGCCTGGGCTACAGAGTTAGACCTTCTTGCAAAAGAGAGAAAGCTGGAGTTACAAATGGTTCTGAGCTACCCAGTATGGGTGCTGGAAACATAACTCAGGACCTCCTCAAGAATAGTAGATGCTCTTCAGTGCTAAGCCATCTCTCTAGCTCCAATATATCCACTTTTTAAGCTCTTCAATTTTGAAACAAATTTATTCAGCAAATAAAAGAAATTAAGACTGCAGATAAGAGGCTGGTGGTAGGCCAGGCGGTGGTGGCACACGCCTTTAATCCCAGCACTTGGGAGGCAGAGTCAGGCGGATTTCTGAGTTCGAGGCCAGCCTGGTCTACAGAGTGAGTTCTAGGACAGCCAGGGCTACACAGGGAAACCCTGTCTCCAAAAAAAAAAAAAAAAGTAAATAAATAAAAAATAAATTACCATTTTGCTTCACTAAAATCATACACACACACTCACTCACCAGTGCTTGTATCAGAGGTTTATACCACCAATAAAAATAGAAGTACAGTAGGCAAAAATGGATTTACAATACATAGCACAAATGGGCATAATCTAAGCATAAAGTCTATTATTTAGAAAGTTAGTGGATTGCATTGGACTTGATGGATTGGTTTTAGAACTTCTGAGCTTTAGTTCTTAGATCTTTAGTCTTTATAAAGAATGTCGAATGTTACTTAATAACTAACTGCCTATGCCAGTCCCACAATGCTTGGTGATGTTAACAGGAGTGGGAGCGGAGTGTTTATTTCCGACATCGTGAAAGGCGGAGCCGCAGACCTCGATGGGAGGTTAATTCGAGGAGACCAGATCTTGTCTGTGAATGGAGAGGACATGAGACATGCCTCACAGGAAACTGTGGCCACAATCCTGAAGGTGAGTCCCACCTTCCCACCTCACTACGTCATTCAATGCTCACAGAACTGTCTCAGTCCGCCTCAGCTTAGTGGATGTTTTCACTATGTTCTTACAAAAAATGTAACTTGTGATTGTTCCAAATGCCCACCGGATTTAAAGGAAAGCTATCGTGATGACTAAGCAGACAGAGGAACCTGCCTGGAGGTTTGAGGCAGTTCCTCATGCTAGCGAGCATTCTGTCACACTTGGTAATCCAGCTCATTGGACAGAGTGTGCTCTCCTAGAGCAGGGAATCCATCCCTCCCCTCTGTATTAATTGACCCCAGCTTAGTGCTAGAAGGAAATGCTAAAGCTCATCTAGACTGGTTTCTTCATTTAAAACTCTGCTCCGGCAGGACGCTCCCAGCCTGCGCTCTGGCGAGCTTGTGGAAGCCTGTGGCTCAGACATCTCAGCTTAGGGCTCTGCCTCCTGGAACTCTTTGGTTGCAACCAGTGGATCTTAAAACAACTGTGGAAGTTTGTGCAGACAGAGAGTTTGTTTAATAATCGTGTCCCTGGTACAGCTACTCTGCAAAGAGTCTGGATTTGTGAACTGTCTCCTGTTGGGTTTCCTATCTGCTGTTTCCCACATCCTGACTGTTGTGTTCTTTATGATCACTTTGTCAGAAGAGAGATGGAAGGGAAGAAAGGCACACTGGTATCAAAGGCATTTAATGCATTTGAAACTGCTGAGTTTCTGTTTTGTTTGGGGTTTGGATGACTGTCTCCTTTTTGCCCGTTGACCTACTTACCCTCTGGTAAGCCTGCACTGGAGGCCTGCACTGAAGGCCTGCACTGAAGGCCTGCACTGAAGGCCTGCACTGAAGACCTGCACTGGTGTTTTAGATCATAAGTGCTGCCACATCTCACTTCTGATTTTCTTGGCTTCCCAAGTGTGTCCAGGGCCTTGTCCAGCTGGAAATTGGGAGACTCCGAGCAGGTTCCTGGGCCTCCTCGCGGAAGACCTCACAGAACAGCCAGGTTGTTGATGTCTTCCCAGCAGACTCACTTTTGTGTGCCTGCTTGGGGGGAAGTTTCTCATTTCATATATGATTATTTAAAAACGATGTCTGCCGTCCTGCATGTTCACAACACTAGCTTTAGTGTGCTTTCGTGTGTTTAAAATAAAAATGAAAGGTGGGGTGGAAATTCATTAAGACATTTTTCTCTCCTTTACTGCCTGTGTTTCCTTAGAACCATTTTTTTCTCTCAGTGTGCACTATTGCCTGTGCACACATGTACACAGCTGTGTTTATTTTTAAAAAGGAAAAAAAAAGTAACATCTGGTGGCAATTTGACCCTCATTAGCACAACATTGTTCTAGCCATCCAATTAAACATTGCAATAAAGTTAACTTGTGAATAGTCACTCACACATGCTGAGGGCAGTTAATGGTGCACTCCTAGGAGAGCAAAGTCTGGGGGTTGGGGTTTCTCTCACGGCAGGGAGGTATTAGTTATTAGGTATTAGTGGGTGACGTTTTGTGAGTTAGCAAATATATTTATTTGCAAGACTGATGTCAGTACCACCTTTTTAATGAAGTATTTTCACGGTAATTTGTGTGCGCATGTTATAACGGCTGACACACTCAGTGACTTCTCTTAGTCCCATTTGGCACATGATTCAGCTGTAGAAATTTACATGCAACCCCCTAGCCCTTTTTTTTTTTTTTTTTTTTTTTGAGGTTAAAGTGTGCCTAGTCACCTCATAGCTACAGCCTCCCCATAGCCTAAGGTGCCTAGGATTTGTGGTTGGCATAGCTGCTTCTGCAAAGCCCTTAGCGGCTTTGCCTCATTAGCATGAGATATGGGCAACAAAGAAATCATTGAGGGTCAGTGAGTCGGTGCTTAAATGCACCTGCCACCAAACCTGATGACCTGAATTTAATCCCTGGAACTCCTGTGGTAGAAGGAGAGAACTGACTCCCAAAAGTTGTTCTCTGATCTCCATGTTGTCTGTGTGTCATAGTATGTTGTCACATACTATGGCATGTGCTTCTACACACACACATGCATGCACACACAAACATAATAAAAGAATCTTACATCTGTGTCATTGATCAGACAGGATCATAAACTAGCTGCTTTGACTTCAGGAATTTTCAAAATGGCAGGTGGAGAGATGGTTCAAGGTTTAAGAGCACTGGCTGCTCTTCCAAAAGGACCCAGGTTTAATTCCCAGAACCTACATGGTGACTCACAACTGTCTTTAACTCCAGTTCTAGGGAGTTTGACACCTATACTCACATAGATATGAGCACATACATGTAAATACAATTTCAAAAAAAAAAAGAATGTTCAAAGCAATCAAACCTAATCACAATGTTAAATACAGATTCTCCACCCCACCCCCAGCTTCTGTAATTAGCAGATAACAGAGACACACAAGTGAACAGTCAGGACTCATGGAGACTTAAGTTGACAGACAGTAGGAGCTGCAGTCAACAGTCTGTCTCAGGCAAACCTGTCTGGTGGAAGACTCACCTGTCTTGAATGGTTCCATTGAAGTCTCTCACACAGGAGATGAGAGTACAGTGTGAACCATACTAGAGGTAAAACTGTTCTTCCCCCTGGGTGAACAGTTGAGGTGGTAGATAGACTGGATTTATTACTACATTGTAAGTTTGTACAGTTTGGTGTTTAATGGTGGTTAAACGTAACTGCCGGTTCATAAATTTCTATGCACCATATAAACTGGGCATGGTGACACGCACCTGCCATCCTAATACCCAGGGAGGTAGAAGGAGGAGGATCACATGTTCAAGGTCATGCTCAATGAGATAGCAAATAAGGTATGGTTAACTTAGGTCACACTAGACCCCTGTGCCACACCAAAGAAAAGTGAGTCTATCGTAAAGTATTCAGGTGTCTATAACCTATAGCCAAGTGAACTGTAGAAGATGAATTAACTGATGAGTAGAAGGTATGTGATAAAGTACATGTAGGGGCTAGAGCGTTGTCTTGGGGTTTAGACCACTTGTTATTCTTGCAGAGGACCCAGGTTCCATTCTCAGCACCCACATCATGGCACATGCTGATCTGTAGCTCCAGATCCAGTGCTTCAGGCAGGTCCACGTGGTGCACATACATCCACATGGAGCAAAATGCTTAAATGTAGAAAATGGAAATTGTAGACATTTTTTTTCATTTTATTTTATTTTTATGAGGGAGACTCTCAAATGTACGTCCAGGGTCAGGATCCTCTGGCTCCGCCTCCTTAGTGCTGGGATTGTATGTGTACATGTGTGTCATGAAAATGTCACAGATTTTCAATTATGAAATCTAAGTATAGCTATCATTCTTATAACTTTTCTGCTCACTTGAAATCTTTCTTATTTCAAAAATATTTAAATGGTTTAAAGATTCTTCCACAATTAAATAACTGATCATTAAGCTGTGGTGGGTAAAGCACCTGTCTGACATGCATAGAGCCCTTATCCTTAGCAAAAAAAAAAATAAGAAAGAAAAGAAAGAGAGAAAGAAAGGAAGGAAGGAAGGAAGAAAGAAAGAAAGAAAGAAAGAAAGAAAAGCTTCAGCCAGGCATGATGGCACGCACTTATGATCTCTGTTCTCAGAAAGATCTGAGTTCAAGGCCAATCCATATTATATAAGAAGACCCTGTTTCAGAACCAAAACACATTGTAATTTACCAAATGGTAATAGTGATATGGTCTTAAATTTTCATGACAATTGAGCACAGACTTGATAGTTGGGTAGAAAAATTAGAGATGATGTGCTCTACATTAGAAAGGGCCTTTGCTAATGTGTGGGATTTGGATAGTCACTAGCTGTAAGTGACTTTATATTGTAAATCTCAAGTATATATCTAAGTGAGTGAAACAGTTAAATTCGGGTGTAACAGGCTGGCTTGACCCATTCTGGATATAGGACAGTGTTCAGAATATAAAAGCAAGATACCCCTAAAATCTGCTCTTTCCTCTTGACAGTTACTGCTTTCTTTAAAAGTCTGTTCTCAGTCCCCTTTCTGATGATTTAGCTTCACACACTTGGCTAAGCAAGACATGAGCTGTAGTTTGGGTCATGTTGGTTGTTCCCTCAAAGGACAGGGCCAGTCACTGAAGGCTATAACACTAGCAAACTAGGAAAATGCTTGATTTCATGTGCAGCAAAAGCAGCTCGAATAACTGTCTTTCTACCATGACTGAGATGTGAACATCCACAGTGGGGAACATGAGAGCGAGTGTTTAAATAGGACTGGGTAGGGAGGGGTAAGCACAGTGATGAGTTTTGTTTCTTGACTTTTACAGAATGGTCTGTAGATGCCTGATGACCTCAGCCCCTACAGACTCAGATTAAGGGTGTGTCTCTAGGGCTATGCCTGTACATAAGTGACCACAGTGTCTCCTTTTCAGGGGGATCAGCACAGTGCACACAGCAGCTGTCGGCCTTCTTTTGCCCCAGTTATCACCAGCCTACAAAACCTGGTTGGCACAAAAAGATCTTCAGATCTTCCCCAGAAATGTAAGTTCGAAGTGAGCCTAAGGTACTTTGTGTGGTCTATTTCAAGAGGAAGCAGGAGAAAGGTTCACAGATCCCATGAGCAACAGAAAGGCAAAAACTTAAGAGTGCATCAGAAAGTGCAACTGTTTGTTTACAGAGAGAACATGAGTGCATTATAGGTACCTGGAGTGGGTGAGAAGTACACATGCCCTGGAGAACAGAGTGGAGGGAGACAGGGTTCTTTTTTAAGGCCCTCTTGGGTGAGGGTTATCTTTGAGTGTGGCAGAAAAATGCACAGTGAAACATAAATGTATTGTTCTGCAGCTCTGAGTAACTATGTTTCAGGCCATTGCTATGCAGCCCATCAGATTTGGTCAGACCAAACGATTATGGCCACATCTGTCCACACCAGGATGTTGCCCCTGCAGACTCAATTGGGTCCTGGTGCTAAGGAAGGGTGTACCCTGCTTGCTTTAGTCTCCTTTTTGAAAAACCTAGACAATTGCTGCTGTCTTTATGGGAGGGAGTGTTACACCTTGGCATATTAGGTCTGATCATAAGCATTAGTGAATGGTCTTACTTCTCTACCCACAGGCACAGAGGAGGAACCAAGGACTGTTGAGATAATCAGAGTAAGTCTCTTGTTATTTTGATTCTACTTTGTACATTTTCTCTCTGAATGTAATTTACCAGATTATATGTTATTCCAAGTTAGTAAAGTAATTAAGTAGCAGAAATAGACTTTTTAAAAGTAGATTGAAACATGTAAGTTTCATTGTGAATTTTTTAGTATCTTCTTTTAATTGTGTGTGTGTGTGTGTGTATGTGTGTGTGTGTGTGTGTGTGTGTGTGTTTAAATTTCACACAACAGAATGTTGGACATTCTCTCGTAGCTCATCTTCGTACCTTGCTGTGTGAACTTGGAGCCTTGTCAGCATTCTTCACAGCAGAGAACATGATTGTTCCTGGTTATATAATATTTACTCCATTGTCTGGGTGTGCCTTTTTAATCATCTTCCTTTCATTAAACAGTTAGCATATTTCTTTTTTCTTTTTCTTTTTCTTTTTCTTTTCTTTTCCTTTCTTTTTTTTTTTTTTTTTTTTTTAGGTCTGTGTATGAGTGTTTTTTGCCTCATGTGTGTCTGTGCACTATGTGCTTGCCTGGTGCCCACAGAAGCCAGAAGTGTGGGCCTTGGGTCCTCTGGAACTGGATGAACTACCACATGGGGGCTAGGAGTCAAACCCACATCTTCTACAAAAATAGCAAATACTTTAACTGTTCAACATTTCTCTAGCTCTCATGTTTAATTTTTTACCTTCTATAACAAGCATTGCTATGTGTATGTTTTTCCCTATATTCTGAATAATCACCTCAGGATTAATTCCTAGAAAAGAAGCTATCAGGTCCAAAGCCATGCCTGGGGCAGGGGTATAGCTTGGTTGCAGAGAACTTGGCTGGCATATGTGAGACCATGAATTCCATCTTCAGTCTCTTATTAAAGGCTTTGTATGTGTTGTGAATTTGCTCTTTTGAAAAGATCCTGTGAGGTTTATTCCAGTTCATATGTTTTCCCATGCTGATTTTCAGCTAATGTGTGCTCTCTGGAATATTAGAAAGTAGACTTTGGTTCATTTCCTGAACTATGAACCTGAAGTTCAAGAGTAGTGCTAAGATTACAGTCCTGTTGTAACCAGAGTTAGCAACTGCAATAGGGTGGATGGTTCCTGCTCTGCTCTGCTCCCTGGATTCAGTCATAGCTTGTGCTCTGACACTTGCTCAGTGACTGTTTATTTAGTAGACCTGCCTAACAGAATATTAGAGACTGCTGTCTGAAACAGCAGATGTTAATTCCCCCACAGTTTTAGAAGTGAAAAGTTCGACATTAAGGTGTAGGGGTATGACCTTGTGGAAGAAGGTGTTGTCACTGGGGGGTGGGCTTTGAGGTTTAAAACCTCACACTAGGCCCGACCAATGTCGCTGTCTATCTGTCTTGTGCCTGTGAATCTGATGTAAGCTCTCATCTGCGGCTCCAGCACCGTATCTACCCACTTGCTGCCGTGCTTCCCACCATGATGCTCATGGGCTGACCCTCTGAAACTGTAAGCCAGCCTCCAGTTACATGCTTTCTTATAAATTGCCTTGGACATGGTATCTCTTCACAGTCATCCAAAAGTAACTAAGAGCAGGAACTCATACCATCTTCTGGCTTCTTCAGGCCCTGCACATATGTGGTACACAGATGCACATGCAGGTAAAACACTCAAACACATAAAATAAAAATAAATGACTATCTCCTAGAGTTTTGCACAGAGGGCATTGCTGACTGACTGATGCATTTGGAAAGCATTTACAAATGCTCTGTAAACAGGATAGAAGTGAGGCACTGCAGTGATTCTAAGTTATGGCAGGGCAGCACTAACGATAACAGAGTAATCGATGTGTTTATGTCATCTAGGATGTGGGCTGTATGTTTGTGTATTTGCATGCATACACATACCACAGCTCACAGCTTACAGTTGTCACAGGACAGCTGAGGGAGTCAGCTCTTCCCGTCCACCTTGCTGGGCCAAGGTCTCTCTGATTTCTGCAGCTATGCTGCCTACTCTAACCAAATAGGCCCATGAGCTCCTAGGCAATTCTCCTGTCTCTGCCTCCCATCTTTCTGTCCAAGGGCTAGAAGTTCATGAGTTTAGGGATTTGAACTCAGGCCAGGCATGGTTTTTTATCTTCTGAACTATCTCCATGGCCCTAAGGTAGAGCCTTTTGCCTTGTTGGTGACGTTTCATTAGATTTGGGCTCTAGGGATTAAAGCTGGAGCTTCGTGCATACTAAGGCATGTTCTACCATGAGCTCCTCCCAGCCCCCACAGGTCTGTTCTCTTTGTATGAACTCTCTGAGATGCCTTCTTCTGCTTTCTAGCTTTATTAACCTATAATTGATGAACACTTAGCTATGGAGGGCATTGTTTCTTTTTTTATTTTTTGAGTCTTACTGTGTAACTCTGGCTAGCCTGGAACTTGCTGTGTAAACCAGGCTAACCTGCAACTCATAGAAATCCATTTGCCTCTGCCTCCAGAGCCCTGGGGTCATGACCGTCTTTGGTTCTGAATATTTTTAAAAGATAAGTTTGTGACCGTGTAGGTCTCTTACCTCAAGAGTAGTATTTATGTCTCCTGCCTCTGTTGTTTTATTTTCCATTGCTGGGATCCACCCAGGAGCCTGGTAGGGGCCATGCATATCTATATAAAACAGTGTTACAATGTTTGCTTTCGACTGTCCTACAGAACATTGAGGGGCACTTTACATCTTCCTGCATGTTGACAAGCATGAGATTTTATCCTAGACCTCATGAATATTAAGTTGTGTATATCTACTCTGAAGAATAATGTTGCTTATGCTTTTAGCAGGGAAATTGGAAGGGAAATTTTCACTTGCCTTTGTAATGATTTTTTTGTTTGTTTGTTTTGTTTTGTTTTGTTTTTCTCTGTGTAGCCCTGGCTGTCCTGGAACTCACTCTGTAGACCAGGCTGGCCTCGAACTCAGAAATCTGCCTGCCTCTGCCTCCCAAGTGCTGGGATTAAAGGCATGTGCCACCACCCCCCGGCCTCCTTTGTAATGATTTAAAGCAAAGTTTAATAATCAAAAATTTTGGTATACTGGTTGAAGGCTCTTCTATACTTAGTAGATTAGTGATAATTCCCCACATTTGTGCTCAGAATTCGGGATCTGTTTCCACTCGGCATTTCCTTCCTGATTACCCAGCAGCCAGGGAAGCCTCTTTCAGTCCCTCTGGCTGGAAGGGCAGGGTTTGCATCAGAATGTCAATAGTTCAGCCACCTTTTCTGCTCCGAATCTGACCCGGATTCCCCCTCAGAGCAAAAGTATACCTAACACACAGGCCCATGAGCGTGCATACACACACATACACACATACCTGAGCACTCACACACACTGCTCACGTGCACACACACACACTCACACTCATAGGCACACAAGTGCATGAGCTTGTACAAGCACACACAGAAGTATGCGGTAAGCCTGTGTGGTATACCCCTGCTGTAACTTCTGCAGATTTTCACTTTCCACCAGTTAGTTTCTCTTGGTTACAGAAGCTATGGGCCGTTGTTATTTGCATTTTGACAAGACTTTCCCATTATAGTCAACAAGAGCAGTAGATAGACTTGGTTATGAATGCCAGCCTGCCAGAACTGCAACTTGTCATTTGTTCTTTCAGTCATTTTAAAAATATTAATCCTCCTAGGATGGGAGGGACAGGGTGGGACGAGAGCCAGATCTCTGTTCAAGGTCCATCTTTACAAAGATTTTCGCTACTGCTTTACTTCCCTCTCCAAACTGTTGTCACAACAGTGGGCACCCTCTAAGAGCCTTTGTTTAGTGCAGGCATGCAGCTCTTTTGAAGCCAAGTGTGTTTGTTCACACCCAGAACATGATATGTGTGGCAGTTTAATCATAAACACCATATGAGAACACACTTGCCAAGCCTGCGTCAAATTGGCCGCTCCACTGAGCAGTAGTGAAGGCTTTTGTTTTTTAATTTACTGCTACTATTGGCTTTTATTGAGCCTCTTCTGTAGGCCAGGACATCACTGTGTTATCTTATTTATACTCAGATTATCACCATGTACTGTGCAGTCTACTTCCCTGTCTTGTACATAAGGATGGAGGCTCACAGGGAAGAGCTTCTCTGAGGCCCCCACGCTACCTGACTGCAGAAGCTGACACGGGCCTTTTTGATGCCCTACATGCAGCTCCCATATTATCATGGAGAGGTTTTGTTCAGTACAATGTAAGGACAGACTGTCTATGCCTATTATTAAATACACAGGCCTTCTATTTTCTCTCTTTGTAGGAGCTCAGTGATGCCCTTGGGATCAGTATCGCTGGAGGAAAAGGAAGTCCTTTAGGAGATATCCCAATATTTATTGCCATGATTCAGGCCAGTGGAGTGGCCGCACGTACCCAGAAACTTAAGGTAAGATTCCAGTAGATTAGCAGAAGGCTGACAGTGTGTGTTGGGTCCAGAAGGAGCTTGTAACTATAGAGACCTTGTTTAAAGTTGGAATTGCAAAAGCCATCAGCTACCCATGCTGAGGACAGACTACATTAGCAAGACTGTAGACCTGAAATTCATTAAGTCCCTGGACACATAAAAATGTTGTTCTTATCAAAGCTTCCAGTGAAAGAAGGAATCCCAGCCTCTTCCAGCTCTCTCAAGACCTTTTAGCATCTCGTTTACCCAAATTGGTTTGTAACTTAGATTTGATCTTGGAATATTCCCCTAACTGAAAGTATCAATTTTTTTCTGTTGTCCCTTAATTTTAACTGAGATATAAAAATTAAGCAGAAAAGCCTTGGCTTCCTCATTGGAGCTTCACTGAACAGTTAATTTGTGCACCCCACTCTTACTGGCTACCAAAACACAGAGTGACCTGCGGCGCCTTATAAGTAATCAAATTGAACCCCTTCTTGTCTCTCTGATTGGGCTGCATTTGGGAAAAACCATTAAAAATTCCCCACACTCCACAGAAGCCAGCTCTCAGCAATGAGGCAGATGGGAAATATACCTTACAAAGAGTTATAGGCATTCTTCTCAAATTTAATTTTTCTTAATGATAGTGATTTTCTTCCACTTTTGTCCTTCCAGGTTGGAGATCGGATTGTAAGCATTAATGGGCAACCTCTGGATGGACTGTCTCACACAGAAGCTGTTAATCTCCTGAAGAATGCCTTCGGGCGCATTATCCTGCAGGTATTGCGATCAATGGAGAACCAGCTGGCAGAGGCAGATAAATGACAGCAGGAAAGACAGAGCAGGGCGGCACTGGCTGTCAGCATCGCCACCCAGCAGGGTGCTTGTTGATGTGAATTATGAAGGTTGAAAGCGAGAAATTATTATTTTTATTCAGAAATTCTTTAATGCCACCCATACAGGCATGAGCAGGATTATCTGAAAGTGTAACAAGGGGAGAAAAATTACTCTCAGCTTCATGTGATAAATCAACAAGGCTTTTAGCTTCCGCCATTCTTTTGTAAATTGAAGTTTGCTACGAATAGGAAATGATTTCTTTTCTTCCATCTAAAGGCTGTTTCTGGGCAGCCCGTGCACTGTTTCCTGTCCCTTTAAAGACAGAGAAAATACAATGCTCTTTCTCCTGTGCCGTGAATGGTTGCCAGCACCCTGCAACTCTTACTGCATAGCAGTCATCAATTAAGGCAGACAATTATTGATCTGCTGTGGCCCCATGAGCATTGTCAGAGCAGCAGAGAGATCCAGGAGGAAGTAGAAGCAAAATGTGCTGTTAATTTCCCCTCCCTCCATTGCGGCCCTTCACTTGTCTCTGAGATTGATGCCGTGCAGAGACTGGAGAGGCAGCGTACTGGCAGTGACTTTCTTTAATAAGCGCCCCTAAAGTGAAGGATTATAATCACCAGACTTCTGAAAGAGGCAGTATAAAATGATTTACAGGTAAAAAGGATAAAACCCACAGCCAGCCTCAGGTAGTTCTAGCCTTAGAAGAAGAAGATTGAATAGAAAACCCACAACATTTGAGAGAAGTGATGTGTGGGGCCTGGCTCTGAGAACTCAGTGGTCTAGGTCAAAGTGACAATGCATTTAGCAAGGTACACATGGTAGGGGCCGTGAAACACTGCCTGTGGTCTCAAAGAAGTTGATGTAATAGCCAGATATTATTTGGGTCCTTGAGTGTCTGCTGAATAGCAACAAAACAGTGCATAGCCAACCGCAGCCCTGCTTCTCCCATGATGTGTGTGGTCCTCATGCAGAGTGAACATGTCTGGTCATTACTCCATTCCTGCTACAGGTGCTTTGCCTTTTGTTTCCCCATCCTTCCAGTTCTCCTGACCCCTAGAGTACACCTCTTCAGTCTCAGCTCTTCATCACCAGAGGCAGGAGACAGCAGGGCCTCAGTGGGAACATGAGCAAGAAGAAGGGGCTCTCTCTTAAAGTCTAGTATTAGTGATAGTCCTACACGCTGACTAAATTCATTCAGCTCCACCTTTTGCACAAGGATGCGTGACACAGGCTGGAGCTGAGACGTAGCTCAGTGGTAGAACACTGCATGGCATGCACAGAACCCTGAGTTAAGTCCCTGCACCCCTCCGCCCCTGCCCCCCAAAAGACTACATTTTAAATTACCTTGGAAGACGTGACACCTCTCAGCAATGGGGGTGGACAGGAGGATTCAGAGTTGGAGACCACCCTGGGCCTCATAGTGAGTTCAAAGCTACCTTTGGTTACAGTTCAAAGCCAGCCCTCGGGCACTTGAGATACTGTATTTAAACTTAAAAAAAAAAGTCAACAAAAACTTAGTTTTAGAAACTGAATTTGCTGGGCAGTGGTGGCACACACCTTTAATCCCAGCCCTTGGGAGGCAGAGGCAGGCGGATTTCTGAGTTCGAGGCCAGCCTGCTCTACAGAGTGAGTTCCAGGACAGCCAGGGCTACAGAGAAACCCTGTCTCGAAAAACCAAAAAAAAAAAAAAGAAACTGAATTTGGTGCCAGATCTATAATCCCGACTCTCAGAATGTTGAGACCAGAGGATCAACATTCAAGAGGACCAGTGTTCAAGGTCAGTCTTGGTGCTATAGAAAGTTAGAGGCAAGTCTGGACTGAAACCTTCTCTCACAAAAACAAAGGTCACAAAGGAAACATGTTATTCTTGCTAAATTGCTTCTGTCAGTGTACTTTTTAAATATAGTTCTTATAAAAGGCCTAGGGAAATGGCTCAGTAGTATGAGCATTGGCTGCTCTTCCAAAAGACATGGGTTCAATTCCCAGCACCCAGATGGTGGTTCAGCCTCTGTTACTCCAGTTCTAGGGGGATCTGGTGCCCTCTTCTGGCCTCCTTTGGCACTGCCTGAACTTATTGTACAGACATGCCCACAGGCAAAACCCCTATTGAAACCAAAGTGAAATAAGTAAATACTTTAAAATTTTATTTAAATGTTTTTACAACGTAGAAAAAGTACCTTTAATTTATTTCAGATAAAGCTATAGAAGAAGAGTGACTATGTTTGCCCATTCTGAGAGCTGTTTTGTTTGATTTGGGATTTTCTTTCAGACAAGGTCTCTCAATATCCCTGGCTAGTCTGGGATCCTTCTGCCTCAGCTCCATAGCACTGGGATTTCAGGGCTGTACCACACCGCTTACTCTCCATAGCCTGTTTCTGAAAGAGGGCTTTATTCCTTTTCTGTTTCTGTGTTTTAAGAAGAGAGTGACATTTGATTTGAAATGGCAATCATGTTAGTTGCTGTTTTCCTTCCTCATCTGCACTCTGAACATCAGTGGACCCACAGAGTCCATAGGTGGGATAGTCACACTCAAGAATGTGGAGCTTGTGTGGCTACAGACACGATAGACATGGAGCTTAGCAACGTCCACTCTCACGCGCCTTCCAGTCACATGGTGTTTGCTTCCATTGAAACACCCTGGGACACAATTATATGGCAGCTGCGTCATCACTAGGCAAATTGTTTTCATTATCAGACAGGCCATTGGCAGGGAAGTTAAAAAAAAAAAAAAAGTCCAGGTAATTGTGCCTGGTGATATGGGAAAGAGACGTGTATATGTATGGTTTTGTATACATTTGTGCAAGACAAAGGTCGTTACTCAGTTCCACCGTCAGCATGCCCAGCCTGTCTCTACCTCTTTAACCTAGGGATTAGAGCCACACACCACTACTTCTTTTTTACATGGATACCAGAGAGTGAACTCGGGTCTGCATGATCAAGAGGCAAGCACCTTACCAGCTGAGCCATCTCTCCAGCCCATGGAAAAGACTTACAGTGTCTCACAGAAAGCCATCAGCAAGTGCTATTGGCACAGGAGAAAGCTCTGGCCCCTCTAAGTAGAAGGAGTAGACGTCGCTGCCTCTAAGGCTGGTGCCTGCTTATTGACAACTCCAGACTGAGCAGCTGAGGTTGACTAGGCTGCTTGAGATGTTTCTAACTGTTCCTACTTTTATTTGCTCCTTGTAATTTGAGAATTGTCTCGCTCAGCTCTTTCAATATGGAATGACTATAGAACTGTTTTTAATCCAGGTATCATACTCTCTGCTAGAAAAATTTTGGTTTTGCTTTAAGATTTATCTTTTTTTTAACTTATGTATAAGTGTGTATTGTCTGTCTGTCTGTCTGTCTGTCTGCCTCGTGTCTTTGTCACTGTATCTTTGTGGGTAAATACCACATATGTGCCCAAGGAAGCTAGAAGTGGGTATTGGATCCCTTGGAGCTGGAGTTACATGTAGTTGTAAGTCACCTGATGTAGGGAAATGAACTCAGGTCATCTACAAGAAAAGCAGGTTCTCTTAACCAGTGAACCATCTTGTCAGCCCACTAGGAAAAATAATTATTTCTAATTTTTTACCTTTCTTTGAGGACAGAAGAAGGGAAAAAACATGTCAGGCACTTCTGTCATGGACAGAAGTTGGAGAGTTGGGCTTTGTAGCATTGAGGCAACATTAATTAAACAGATAACCCAGACTGGCCTCACTATTTAGCTAAGGCCATCCTTGAACTCCTGATCTCAGTATCCCGTTCTCCTTTGTCCCTGATAATGTGCTCTTGATGGTATTGTGATGTTAGGAACACTGGTGTGGGGACGCCAGGCAGCCTCATGGCCAAGGAAGCATGCTGCACATGCTCAGAGCTGCAAACGAGAGCAAACTGAAGCTACCTGGACTTCGCAGTGCTGACGCTCCTATTGCCTGACACACTGCACTTGTTAGGTACTGGCTGATTAAATAAATCGAAATGCAAGAGAGGGATCCCAAAGCCTAGGAACAAGTTTGGAGATCAGAAGAAAATCTTTAAATCAAAGAGATAATGATTAAGAGTCTCTTTATGAAGTAGTTCTTCAGGTCGCCTTCAGGAGCGTCCTCCAGAGCTTGTGGGACTAACAGAAAAGGCTGCAGTGGTGGATGGGTTATTAAGAGAGCATGGAGAAAGAGCAGGACACGTGGCTCACCCAGAGAGCACTCGCCTGGGTTCCATCATAGAACCATCCGGGAGTGAGGGACCAAGCAAGGGGACCAAGGGATTCAGCCAAGAAACCTGATGTCCCAGAAGTAGAAGTTGTAAGCAGATGGGGTTGGGGGAGAGGGTGTTGTGGGTTTGGGCGCCGGGGGGTGCGTTGCTCCGCCCGGCCGGCAAATTAAAGGAATTTAAAGATCTATTAATCAGAACACATATTAAATAATAAAAGAATAATAACTACCTAGACTTTACGCTTCTCAAGAGAAATATACTTGCTAGCTGTAAAGAGCAAGGCATTTGAATGCCCCTGGCTTTTTTTTTTTAAATCAGTTTTCTGAGAGAATTTACTTTAAGATGTACTCCAACAAATGAACAGCCATGACAGAAGATGCTGTCGTGCTGGACAGTGTTAAAATCACCGGCAGTGGGCACAGAGCCCAGTCTATCCAAGTGGAGCAGGAGGAGGGGCACATTGAGAAAAATGGCTCTGAGCCAAAAAGGAGAAAACAGGGAGGCTTGCTCAGTGGGTAGAGCACTTGCCACGCAAGCCTGACAACACAGGTTCAAGCCCAGGTCCCATAGTGAAGGAGAGAACTGACACTTGAAAGTTGTCCTCTGACTTACACACACTAATAGAACTAATAGTAATGACATTAAACTAAAGGGAAAATGAGGTATTGAGTATCCAGTACACCTAACTGTCCTGAAAGTTTGAGGTGAATTAAAAATGTTAAAGCTGATCTAATAAAAACATA